ATTGTGTTTATCTACAAATTTTATTTTTAATTTTCTTTTTGTTAATGATTAAATTTCGAATCACACTCTAACTATAAGTTATAAAGTTCCCTCCAAAACCTAACACGATTAATCTTGAAGTTAAAAGTTAATGGCGTTTAATAAATGAAAAAGATAGAGGCTTTGCAACAGTTTAAATAGCCAATATTGTCAATTTTATCTGTCTAAGTGGGCGTGGGCGCCAGCTGATGATTTTTTAATAGTCATTTTAAAATATTTCTAATTCATAAAATGGCTAGTATGTTATATCATTGGAAAGGTACTGATTTGGAAATTTTAGAAACTCAAAATTGATTTCCCAAAGGCGACTGACTGACCGTAAAAGAAGTTAGCCAAAAAAATATCAACAATTGTTATGGAAAGGAAAGTAGCAAGTGTTGTACCATTTTGGAATATTAAATAATCTTTTGAAATAACTTGCCTAGGGTAATATTTTTCTTTTTTGGAGAGTCAAAGTTAGGTGACATCATTTTTTCAAACTGGCTCTCACGCGCGTGCGAACTGCGTTAATTAGACTTAAGAGTGCTGATGTTGACGACCCCTTTTTATCAATCCAATCGTTATTTTTCTGAAAGTGTCCGCTTTTATTTTAATTATAAATTTATCCTGTAATATCTTTTATCCAGTTGATTTGCTCTCATTTGGCTTCTAGTTAACAGTCTAAATTAATAAAAACTTAATTTATTTATATTAACTTTATATTGAATATGAATCTGAAATTTTTATGGTGGGACGTTCCTCTGAAATTATTTTTTATTCCAAATGAGTTCAATATCACATATTTTACAAGTTTTTATATGTTTCATGAACAATTTTTGTATAAATGTAAGAGATAAAGGGGTTGAAGCAGTCTTACTACTAATGATTTCCGTAGTGTAACTAACCTTATTATTTTTCAATAAATACAAAAAAATAGATACTCTTCCACTGTTTTAAACTGAAAATTTTCTAATATTTTATAGTTTACTACTTTTAAATATACTTTTTATATTGCAGGTTATCCCAAAAAGTACGTAGATAATATTTTACATAATAACGGTACATTTTTAGGATGCCCCAAAATATCAGGATTCCTCGGTAACAATTTCAAAATGGTATCCTTTTTTAATTTTTCGTAAGTTTTATGTTCATGGAAGAACAATGTTAAATGACTTTCTGTTCCAATTCTCTTGAGAGAACTTTTCTTTAATTTATTTTAAGCCTGAACCCTTTTAGACTATCCTTCATTCTTTTTAATTAATGGGAATAGTAATTCAACTGTAACCTCAAAGCATAGCCTATTGTCAAAGTTTTCTATTGAATTGATACATCTTCCATCCGACTCAACAAAGATTTGAATCATGTGATAATTCGGAACATTCTGGAAGTTTCATGGAGCTGAGGGCTTATTGTGAAATGACGTTGGTTTCGTTTCCATGTCATCGCTGCAGTTTTGTTTCGTGGATATATAGCTCCAATACAAATATGTCTTATCTTACATATTAGAAGCTTTAAGTTTCAATGGGAGATTTTTTTGAATGCTTTCGGATTATAGACAACTAAATAAAGAAATTTCATCCAAGTAGCCCCCCAAAAATGACAATCCAAATTATATTTATGAAAATTAAAATTTTTTTCAAAATAGAATTTTAAATAACTTGAAGTTCCCCATAGATTGCCTAAGTTTTAAAAAGAACAATCACTAAAATTAATCTTCTTTCCCCTTTTTTAGCCTCCCATTTAATATGAATATTTTGAAATCGAGACATTTTACTAAAAATGAATTAATAAAAGTTTCAATTGAACAGCCCGAGAAAAAGAAACAATGTAAAATTGCGATTATATTTCTAGATATCATTTTTATTTTATAATATCTATAAGTATACTTAATTCTCAGCAAAATCCTGTATTTAGACATTCACAAAGTAGGAAAGAACGCGGGAATATGTTTTTTAAATCATAAAAACTATTTTAGAAATTAATAAGTCATCATGCTATTCGTTGTACCAAAAATCACTCTTAATTAATCCTTTATTGTGGGGTGAGGATTTCATTATTGCACAAACATTCCTAATGTTTCTAAAAGATTCAACATATAATCTTATAGATTTGAGTACTTAAATGTTTGTGTGATTCAAGTTAACGAACTAATTTAGTTACTACTAAATTATAGTAACGAACTAAAAAGCTACTAATTTAGTCACACTACAATGCTCTTTGACCTTAAACATGAAATTTTGTGAGTGCGATGTCTACTTAATGAATAGGATTATTTTTATTTGAAGAAGTGAAGTACAAATTATTTATTTATTTGTTTTATTCAAACTTTTTCTTATAGCAAAGTCACTTTGAATATTTTGAATTCTTTCTATATGTCATAATTTTAATGTTATTATTTTTTTATTATATAAGGAAATTTTTATATCAAATGCCAACACCTAAAATATATATTTTAGAATCCACATTATTGTTTCTAATATATCTTGCAAATTATCTCCGACATTTCTTACGGAAATGGATGCAGTTTAACAAAAAAGCGTTTGACAAGAAATATTTTCAATTATCGCACTTTATAGTCATTTCAATTGATTGTTCTCTTACTGTGCAAAAGGTAGGAAATAAAAGAAAGATGACTATTTGCAAAGAGACAAAAATTGTGGGTAAATATTTGAAACTTTATATAAATCATTGTAAATTCGATTATTTTTTGTAAGTTTTCTAATCTCTGTCAAAAAGACACTAAACACTCAAGCCACTGTTTATTTGAATTAGCTATAATTTTTAGAATTACTTTAAGTAAACAAAATTACTGTTGACATGATTTTCTAGATTTTAAGAGTGTAATAGGCCACAATTTAAAAAAAGAAAAACGGATAAAAAATGGATTCAAAAAAAATGTGCATATAGGAAATTAGTAGTACTGTGACGTCTATCGCGTCTTTCTGCTAACATAACTCCTATGTTCTTTGACGGCCACGATTAATGGCAAAACTTTTCCAACCCAATACCAAGAAGATAAACGAACATAATATGTAAATGAGATATACTATAAAAGGATAGAAGCTTTGATGATAAGATATAGCGCGGCAAGCTTAGAGATAGTAGTGTGGAATTATTCTGATCGATAGCGTGACAAAGCTTAGTGTGAAATCTTGCAGATCAAGAGTTAGCAGTCCGATAGTTTTGGAAAGAATAGAAGCCTAAGATAAAGAAGTTGGAACCATCGTATATAAAGTTTATAGATATCATTCTCTAGGTAAAGGAAGGAGAACTGAAAAAGGTAATATTAGATATAAGTAATTAGATGAATAGGATTATTAATGATAATTGAGATAAAGGATCTAGTTGTGTGATCTGACTTGAATACGTGGTTTAATTTGGGCGTTGACTCTCACTTTAATTAAAATTGTCAAATTAGAATTTAAGTAATATAAGTTATTCTTAATAAAAGTTGTATTAAGAATTATTATGTCTCATCATTTTGATAATCCCACACCTCTAGCTTACGCGGAACCGGCACGACATGGTCATCACAGGATGGCTATGTCGCAGTACATAAAAACACTAAAAATGGGAGGTAGGAAGAAGTTTTTTATTCTGAAATATACTGTGTTCCTCTCTTCAAAAAATTAAAATATTTAATTGAATACTTTTTTTTACTTGTTTAACAGAAAAGATGTATAAAATTCTACACTTTTCAATACTTAAATTTAAAGTAGTTTTTGATGATTTTGTTATTAACTCAGTTAAGAATAAAGGAAGCTGTGATCAAAGTATTTTTCTTGGAATTCTACACAGATTAGAATTTTATATGAAACGCACTCACAAAATACATTTCTACTTCGTATTGTTAAATATAATATTTTTTAGTGTTAATATTCTAAAGTGGTTCGAATTAGAAAACATATTTTTTTTTCAGATCAACTCGTATAAATATTAATGATCTCTCTTTTAAATTGGTAGATCGTTCCAAAAGAAAGTTAGAGCTTAAGAGATGGCAATACTTCGCAAAAAGACTGCCGAATAGATCAGTGGTTCCTATGACTAGCATTTTCGTTAGTGAAGATTGTTGTTGCGTAATACGCGAACAAAATGAGGTACATTGGCTTTGTGTGTAAGTTTCGAGAGTGGGGGTGCCAGCTCAGGTTTGATTCCAAATTGCAGTCCATGGCGAAAAGCACTAACGTACCTTCGAAATGCGACATTAAGAAATCAATCAATGCATTGCTATTTCATAAATAACGATGTTTCCGAAAAATCTAGAATTCTTTTTCAAATAGTATTATTCAAATAATGTCATATCTTCAGTAGAGTTTGAGCTTAAAATAATACAAACAATGGAGAACTTTTACTTGATGGATTCGATTTTTACACATAGATACGATTATTACGATTTATTTTTACACATAGCAATTGAAAGTTAAGATAAGGACGGAAAAATTCCAAAAGAAATAGTTTTAAAAGAAGTTTAAATTAACATATGTAGATTTTTACCTAAAAAAACTGAGAATACATTTACGAACAAGTAATATAAAAAAAAGTTTTAATCCAATTCCTACTTAGGTCGACAAAATTTTTTTTTTTATTTTAGTTACTTTTTATTATAAAAAATTACAATTAATATAAATATATGTATATACATATACACAGAATCACAACATTAAGAGGCAAAATAGAAAGCAATTTTCCATTTTCCTTTCTATATAGGGTGTTGGACAATAATACATAATTATTTTTTGTTTGTTACTATTTATTCATTCATTAAATTTAATTATTCCAGTAAAGTGGTTGTTGGCGCTGCGATCGTCACCCCCACCTTGCTCACCCACACTTGTACAAACTTTTGCAAGGGAGACACTGCACAAAGCAGTCAATAAATGTTTATGCCTTAAATCTCGCATTTTCAATTAAATACAGTACCATTCGCATTAATAGTAGTATAGCAACAAAAAAAACACACATTCCAGAAATTAGGCGATCGCATTTCCAGGTGGGATTTGTACCCACGACCATTGAATTAGAAGTGCAACGCGCTACCCATTGCGCTACAGGGACACAATGAGCGATTTTCCCTTTTGTGCTTGGTGTTGGAATATTATTTTTGTTTGTTACTATTTATTCCTTAATTAAATAGAATTAATGAATTAATATTTTTAAAAAACTGTATTAACATCAAGTATCATCCACTACAAATTTTAAAAAAATGTATTTGAACTTAAGTGGATAAATAAAAAGTATTTTATTAGCGATTGAAAATTTGAACAAGATATATATATAGGGAGTGTGTGAACTAATAGTAAGAATTGAAAAATAAGTTGTTTTTTTTTTATTACCACTAAATACACTCTACTTGACTGCTATTTCAATTTAATTTTGCTTTATGTTTTTAATGATCATTTTTGAATGATTAAGTTTGTTATATGAGCTTAAGCCCAAACTTTATTTTGAAAAAATGGCTGCTCGAAAATAATCCGGTATTGATGTAAGGTCCAGTATGATGAAGATTGTTTAAAAAAGGAAAATTTTATTGTAAAATAGCTGAAATTGTGGGTAGGAGCCATACTTGTGTATCTTGAAAATCATTATAAAATTTTAAAATGAGGGACTGATTGAAAATAAAAGTTTAAGAGGATAGAAAGGTATTCTGAGAGATGTCACAAAAAGGAAAATTTAGAAAGAAATTAAGATTGATTCTAAAGTACGTGCAGTCAAACTTGCTCTAGAAACTTCTCAAATCACAAGCGGAGGTGTAAGAGTTGAAACTGTTCAAACGACAAGCTGGACATTAAGTCGTGTTGTTAAAAATAAACCGTTCATTAGCTAGCAAAATCAAAAAACTCGTTTGAAATTTGAAAATAAATTTTCACACAATTGAAGGACAATACCTTTGGAAGAAAATTATATTTAGTAATGAAAGTAAATTTAACATTTTTAAATGCGACGGCCGTCACACCGTATGGCTTTGGATCCAAAGCCCAATACCGCTTAGCATCCAAAACATTTACGTTCTGTATATAGTTAAACATATTGGTAGTTCCGTCATGGTTTGGGGTTGTATGGCTCCTTTCAGGTAGGAAGTTTAGTTTTTACACATGTACTTAGTTTTAACCATGTGGTTTGTGCTTGGATATACTTCACAACAAACTAAAGAAAGTGATATAAATGTGGGTTTAGATGGGAATTTCATTTTCTAGCATGACAAACCATCCCAAACACACGGCACGTAACGTCAAAATGTGGTGTCTTTTATATTGTGGTGTCTTTGGCTAAAAGAGATAAGTCAGTCACAGCAACACAACTGTATCACAATCTGTGTAATGCAACAGGAACATTCTTTTCACGGATAATCTCTACTCTCAGAGTCTTAATCTCTCTCTCTCTGTATATATATATATATATATATATATATATATATAGATATATTATAAATTAAGATACCAAGCGAAAAAGTTGTATAACCTACAAGGCCAAAGAACAAAGATATTGGAGTTCAAGAGACATAACAAATGAAGATACAAAAAGAGTCTTTGGACTAAAATGGAGACCTATTATGATTTCTAAAGCTGTCACTGAATTAGGCCAATAATTTAGGGTTAAGTCGATTTATGGTGCCAACTTTCCCCGTACAATAGAAATATTTTCGACATAATAGAAAAAAACAGAGCCATGTTGAAAGTTAAGCCTATTTCTGATACACGTGGATGATAAATCAGACAGTAAAGTAAAATGAAATTATGAAAAGAGAGTAATATTGTTTCTCTCACAGAGAGGAATTATAAGAAAAAATTCTATAGAAAAATTAGAAAAAATTTACATGTAAAATTGAAAACCATAAAGGAATAGGAAGACAAGCATCTTATGCAAAAATCCTGCGCTAAATGATGTTAAAATGATGTTAACACAAGAAGCAAAAAAACAGTGGCACCATTTAGATACTTATTTTGCAATTAGACTAAACACATAAGATATTTTCAAATTAAACTAATCACAAGATATTTTAAATAAATCAATAATCTAAATTGAGAAATAGAATCAATATAACATAGAAATATATTTAAAAACGAATTTACTTAGATAGTTGTATTGCAAGCAATTATTGCGGAATTTTTTATAATTACGTTGTTTTAATACATTATCAGTAATTAAATCATTATTTCTTTTCATAAAATGTAAGGTAATATTTCTAAATATTGATAAATGTAGGTTACTACACCAGAATGGTATTTTTATAATGTTAAAATCAAAAGAGTCTCTTTTATCAAAAATATTACTTGTTAGTAAATTATTTATAACGTTTAATTGAAGGTTAAAAAGTTAGCTGACTCATTACTGTAATTAGTTTTTAATAATTTTAAATAGTGGGGATAATAATTAAAGCTAGGAACAAAATCTTCAACATTATTAAAAAAAATTAGGAAAAATCTATGTATCTAAAAAAGTAACTAGATTCGTAACAACTAATACTATAATTTCCATAAAAGTGCAAATAAATAATGGCTAAACAAATACTAGCTGGTCCACTTTGTGGCAAACCAGCTGATAATAAGAGTTATTATGGAAAATATATGTTTCATTTATAACCCTCTTGCTGCATAGTTATTTTATCAAAGTAGGTCCAAAAATTGCGCATGGTATGTATTGTGTATTTCAAATCTACATATTAAATCTACATTTTAGAGTAAAAATCTAGAAAAAAAATTTTTTAAAGAGTTTTTATTTTAAAGTATAGAATAAGATCATCAAAATACGAACATAAAAACATAATTGAAAACATAAACAACAGCGGCACGGATTGCACAGCTAAATAGTAGGAAAAAAGCATACCGGTGCAAATCGCGGGTTGCGCAAATTTTGCTACATCTACGTTGCCAGTGGAAATCGCGGGATGCACAGCGAGAGGGTTAATAAGTTTCATATATATATATATATATATATAAACAATTAAAAGGAGGAATGTATTTTTTTTAAAAAAAAGAACTAAGTAATTAGCGCCTATAAGCAAATAAGACATCAGATGATAGCTGAGATCTTCGTGAACAATTCTGCCACGAATTGACCTTTGACGTCGTAAGGCTGTGGCACTGTGATCGACTTTGTGTACAAGCACCTCACTTGATCTTAAAAGCTTGTAGAGTAAGGAAATTTTGAAACTTCGTAGTTTAGCACAAACATTGTTTTAAAATTTCTTTTATAACCCATTGTGGTCTGACGATCTCACCAAGGCACAAAAAGGCAACATTGCCGAAACAAGACCATTAGTTGACACTTTTGACTAAACGGGATAAGTCCGTGACAGCAACACAACAGTATCACAACCTGTATAATACAACAGGAATATCGTTTTCATGGATAAGAGTCACCCAGAGGCTGATGGTCTATATGCCGGCTCCCTGTAGTCTGCATCTATTTGACTGTGAACTTCAAAAAGGGCCATCCAGCATGGTGCCGAAAACCGCTGGATGGTCAGAGTCATGGACAGAGGATAATTGGGAGCAGATTCTCTTCAGTGATGGATTGCGATTCAGTCTGGACAGCGATTCGAGACGTTTTCTCATCTGGAGAGAACCTGAGAGTCGACATCGGCTCTCTAACATTGTTGAAAAAGACCACTAAGGTTGAGGGAGTCTGATGATCTGGGCAGGCGTCATGGCAGATGGGGATACCGATCTTCATATATTCGATATATTCGATAGAGGTTCGCTGACAGGTCAGCGATACAGGGACGAGATCCTTGCCCCTTATTTTAGACTTTTCCGTGGAGCATTTAGACCAAATTTCCCCATTACAGATAATAATGCGATTTCACACAAGGCTGAGTTGGTAAACGAATACCTCCAATCGGAGGATATTCAATGATTGGAGTGGTCTGCAATGTCCCCTGATCCTAATACCATCGAACCCTTATGGGACGTCCTTGGAAGCTCAATTGCAGCTCGAAAAGCAGCTCGCAGGACTGTCGATGAGCTCAAGAGTGCCTTGGTGTAAGAGGGGGTGCGGCTGCCACAGGAGTTGATAAGGAACCTGGTAAAGAGACTGCGTGTAGCTATTAGAGGCGATCATACATCCTATTAGACATGTTTTCTCTGACTTACACAGTATGTGTCATCTATTGTGCAGAACAGAGACCAGGTTTCTATTTTTGGTTACATTTTGGGCCCCCTTTTTTTCCATATATTAGTCTTATTTCGAATTTTTTTTTGGCCAGGTTAGGTTTCATTTGCTTTGTTAGTTTTCTTTTTATTTAAAAAAAAAACTAATTGCTGCTCCAATTGTTTTCACCAGTATATACTGAATGTTGAATTTATCAAGTAAAAGTAAGGTTTACTCTTAACTGTTTGAGCCACTGTAATTTATTTTGCCATTTTAAACAAAAGTAAATCAAATTACGAACTTAGGAAAATTTGAAACATTTCATAAATTTCGTATAAAAAATTATAACAGCTTATTTTTCTTAGGATTAAAATCAGAACATTTCTCTATCTAGTAGAACTCTTTAAGAAATATTTGTTTTATTTAATCTTTATCATTAGTGTAGTATAATGGCATTGAACTTGAAGGATTTTCTGAGGATTATATAATAGTCATATCAAAAATTCATTTTTGAATTTAATAAGTGCCAAATTTGTGCCTTTTTGTTTTGTAACCATATTTTGCTAAGGTCTTGTTTTTCACTGCCTTTAAAAAACAATGATAAAAAAAACCCGCTACAAGAAAAAGAAGTAGTCTCTACTTTTACAAACGATAATTAATTATTCCTGAATATCTGTATTATATTCTTTTAAATAAAAGGAAAACGTGGGTCCGTTGTCCTTTAATGGTAATTAATTATGGTATTTAGTAGACAACGGAAAGAAGGAGGGAAATGAAAAGATATTCTTAAAATTCTTTTCAACGCCTCAACTTATGTAAAAAATATGTAATTTTTGTTACGGGTAGTCTGTAATATCCCCAGAACACAAATTTCTTATACATTACAAAAATAATGCAAATCAAATGAAAATATAAGTTGAAATATTTCTAAATGAAAAATATTCAATGTAATATAAATACTTAT